GGTACAATAATCTCTCATTCTTAGAAACCCAAGCTATTTTTTTTTAATATTCAGCCGATAGGTATAAAAATTAAAAAAGACAAACAAACAATGAAGAATAGAGGATTGATACATTGTCTATTTAACTCTAGAAGTGGCATCAAAATGAGAAAAAAATAATGGAGGCACTAACCAACAATAAAGAACGTACAATTCGTTCCCAACGGTGTCTCTCTCTCTTTTTTTTTTCCAAATATTTAAAATTAATTAAATACATGCATAAAAATTAATTATTCCTAGAATTAATTTTAAAACATAATTTAATACATGTATGTAAATTGATTATTTCTAACATTAATTTAATGAATATATATCTGTATAAAATTAAACTAGATTAATGCATGCATATAAATATGCATGCATTAATCTATGCGATTGGTGATGATGTGAATCTATGTATGAAATACTTACTGGGTATCCTGAAAAAGGGTAAACGGACCCGATACATAAAAAAATTCTACCGTAGAAATTATCTCAATTGAACGGAGTTGATAAGTCCCATACCGAAAGAGGTTAGGAGATATAGTTTACCCTTATACTAGACGGGATATTAAGGCGGTGACATGTTTGGTGCCCATCACCAGACATAGTATGAGGATGACTGGTTAATCGATAACTTAGATATTTGGTCCATGCGTAAGGGGGATCTCTATGGACCCTAGAAGTACTGGTAAGCAGGTAAGAAGGTAAGTTGTTATTTTTTTCTCATTTGGATATGAAATCACAATGTTATTCGAATTATTGTTTTCATAAGTGAGTTTTGGAAACTCATGAGGGTACGTATAAAATAGCATTTTTTATGTTAAAAAGAATTTATTTAAGAAAGTAAATGACTTCATGGGTTGTTTTATGATTTTTTACCAAACTTTTATTTTCTGTATCAGTGATAAGTGTGATATTCTTACAGGATTAGTGTAACTCATTCTCTTATTTAACTATTTCATATCAATAAGACCAATATGCGGATCCTTAACAGTAGGAGGATTGCGAATAAAGATTACCTCCCGGACTCCATCAAAGTTGCCCAGCGGAGGTTAACCCCACATGATTTTTATTTCGTTTGTTTTAATCATTTATTCCATTATTATGAACTGTTGAAAAAGAAACATTATCGTAACCTTATTGAACATTCTTTCTTTATTGTGTAAGGAATGTAAATCCTAAATTCTAAATTGCTTCCGCTTATAATTGCTATAATTCAATATTTTCATTTCTTTTAGCTTTGGGCTTTTACAAAATATTTGATCTGTTTATGTTTATTTTTTAAAAAGACAGAGATACTAAACCACTTTTTCACCCATTTTCTTTTTTTACGTTTTTTTTTATTTTAAATCTTTTTTTGTTATATTTTTAAACATGACAGATTGATAAGATAAGAAACATGAAGAGTTGAATAACTTTATAATTAAAGAAATGAAGATTTCAATTCGATGAGACTATATTTACTACAACAACAACCCTACTCCATGCATTAATGATAATTTTTTTTATACTCTTTTACTTAATTAACGATGATTTGTTAATAATAAAGTGCTAAATTGTAATGGCCCCGGAAATTTAAAATGAAATATGTGTATTAAAAATGTCAAATGCGGAAGCGAAGTCAAAATTTCGATTAACATCCCTTACACTAAAACAAAAAACGTGCTCAGAATATAAAAGATCAAACTAACTAAAAGAGAAACTCGAAAGTAAAAACTATGAATATGACTATGGAGTCTTTAGGCGTCCCCTTCGTCGTCTTCCTGCGGAACAGGCTCGAGAACAATGTCTTCCTGATCTGAAATGATTAAATAAGGAATGAGCTACACTATCCAAGTAAAGACATCACGATATCTCACCGTCACGGAGGTAAAGGTGGGTAGAAAACACAAAAAGACCAATGTAGCATAATTTACACCAAATCCTTTTATCAATAATAAAACCTTTACCATCCACTTACCTCGGTGAAATTCATAAAATAATATACGAAAGCAATAACATTATCATCATCATGAAATCATATAAACTGTATAACATAATACTTATCACGCCTTTTGTAATTCAATCGTTACACAACATATTTTTCCTCTTTTACCAGCCTACTAGTATCCATGGGGATCCATAGGGGTCCCGCTACCCGTGAACCCTTAACACTTGTAATCAGATTTCAGGGCCGTCCCCATACTCCGTCCGGTATGGACGTCAAAA